CCATTTCTCCTTGTGCTGCAGGACCAGATCAACTGCCAACAGCCTTCCCTGGCTTTCTAGGCACAAATTAATAACTTGCCCTTGTGGTCCCATAACACATGGCCCATACTTCTATTTTAAAAGCAATCACAGGGCTTCCCTGGTGGCGCAGTAATTGAGACTCCGCCTGCCGATGCAGGGGACACGGGTTCGTGCCCCGGTCCGGGAAGATCCCACATGCTGTGGAGCGGCTGGGCCCGTGAGCCATGGCCGCTGAGCCTGCGCGTCCGGAGCCTGTGCTCTGCAACGGGAGAGGCCACAACAGTGAGAGGCCCGTGTACCGCAAAAAAAAAAAAAAAAAAAGCAATCACATGTTTATAAATAGTTGGTAATACTGTCTGCTTCCCCTGCTAGACTGTGAACTTGTCCTGGGACATAGTAGGATTCAATAAATTCATGTGTTATGTAGTCTCAGAAAATAACAATGAATTTACGTTGTAGGGTCCAATGGAATTTGCCAGTGCACAACTTTGGACGTTGCATGCATTTTACCCAGTGGTAAAGATAAAGAATTCTCTCAGAAGTCTTGATTTAACTTGTTACTAGCAAGCCACTAACTTTCCCTTCCTTCCTCCCTCCCTCCCTCCGTTCCTTTCTTTCTATTGAAGTATAGTCGATTTACAATGTTGTGTTAGTTTCAGGTGTACAGCAAAGACAAGCCATTAACTTTTATCAGAGTAGCTGGATAATCCACCAAAGGAAAGTTTTAATTTAGTGGCATATCAAAGAATATCCAATTTTCTAAGTGTCAAAGGTTATTGGTAGATTATTTCCTGGTCTAGAAAACGGAAGCCAATGAATTCTATCCCACTTCTCAAAAGGTCTGATCTTTCGTTTTGAGACTGCATATATTACTATAAGGTTTTTATTTACAATTATATGCCATGAGAATCAACAGTATAACGTGTGCTCAAAATAAAAAATTCTGATTTCTATCTCTACCTGCAATTTCTCAAGAAGGATAGACAGGATACAAAATATATATAAACAGTATGTTTACAAAGGGGGCAAGAAAGGAGGATTTTTTTTTTTTTTTTGCGGTACGCAGGCCTCTCACTGTTGTGGCCTCTCCGGTTGTGGAGCACAGGCTCAGCGGCCATGGCTCACGGGCCCAGCCGCTCCGTGGCATGTGGGATCTTCCCGGACCGGGGCATGAACCCGTGTCCCCTGCATCGGCAAGCGGACTCTCAACCACCGCGCCACCAGGGAAGCCCAAGAAAGGAGAATTTTACTCTTGATTTTCTTTCTTTCTGTACTCTTTGAATTTGCTAATTATGTACATGAGTTTATTTCATCAAAAAGAGAAAAGACTAACCTGGCTGGTGGGTTTATAAGCTATTTTGGCTTACTTTTTATACTTTTTTTTGTATTAAAAAAAGATCTCAATAAAGAAAAAGGAGAAAAAAGAAGAGGAGGAACACACTCAAACAGATGGAAATGAGCACACAACCCAAACGGACCAGGGAGCTGCCTGGCTCGGCTGAGATCAAGTGACCCAGGGATCCAGTGACAGCCTCCAAGACACTGACTAGACTCAAGTGGCCTCCTACAGGTGACTTTCAAGTGTCCCCAGAAGGCAGGCAAGCACCACCTTCAAAGTCTTGCACGGGAACCACTTCCCAGGTCCTGCTGCCCCTGAAGGGTTCTTAGCTGCTGCTGTTCATTCCTTTTCCTTTCATCTGTAAATATACCAGCATATTTCTCTAAAGGATAAGGACTCTTTTTGTTAGCACAGTCACAATACTAAAAAATAATGAATAATAATAATTTAAAATGTCAGACATTTAGAAAGGCTCCTAATTTCCAATCAGAACAGGAGCTCTTAATATTCAGGGATCATGGACCCCCACGTCGGCATTCTGGGGAGGCCCATAATCCCCTTCTAAGAATGCTAATTATAAATGCATAAACTAAAATGCTTAGAATTACAAAGGAAGTCAGTTATATTTAAATATATCTATCGAAATATTAAAATTGGGATAGAGAACTGAAAGCTTCTTTTTTAAAGCATAAAATAATATCTAATAAAAAAAAATCTCACAAATACTATTTCCTAAAACTACATTTTAAAAATATAATCTGATTGTCAAATAAACTCCAGAAAACAGTATGTTTGGGCAGCTACTTAGGTCATGTGCATTGCTTGTAAGCACCTTTTTGGAAAAGTTAAAGAGCCACCCTAGTGCTTACATTGCTAGTATGTAACTTGGTCTGTGATGGTGTATTGGAAATAAAATAGGTACTTTCTTTTTTTTTTTTTTTAATGAGAATGAGGTTTCTGGCTACAGACTAGACACTAGTTACAGAGAAAAATTAATTTAATAAATAGAACAAATTTCACTTTAACAGCATCTTAACCCAGGATCCGATTTCAGAACCAAACTTAAGAAAAATGGAAAGTAATGGCAATTTTGTAACATATCAGAGGAATATTTGATTCATTCGAAACTGAAGCCTTTTCAGTTGGCCAGACCTTAAATCATATGTCAGCAACTATCTTTTTAATACTAATTAATTAAATAAAATAAAAAATTAAGTGAAACTTGATCTGGGAGAACAAAGTTGAAGTAACCATGGCACTGTGGACTTTGCGGGGTTTTCACTACATCAGGAAGTAATTACACAATATTTTCCAGAAGTGAAACAGTGAGTCTAACTGGAAAAAAATGTGGAAACATTTAGTTAGAACAGTAGGGCAAGGTATTTAAAGAGCCTTTTAAGGGGTTAACTCTGAAGGAAAATATGCAAATAATTGGGTCTTTAAACATGTTTTTAATTACGATTCCAGGATAAAAGTCAGGTATACTATGGCACTCCTGTGCTTCTCCTGAAAACGCCTTTCTTGCAGAGGGATGCCTCCAACATTCACGTCACCGTGAAGACCCAGCCTGACAACCGAGGATACTTCAGAGGAACATTTGCCAGGTCCCCGATGACTTCTTCCCTGTACACTGAGGAAGGCTACGGTCATGTGGCTTCTTCAACATTCACTGGCAAGATTTAACCCACAAACTTGGGTAGAGACACATGGTTTTCATCTTAAGAGTCAAAAGTCATTCACGCCAACATCTTTTCCTAGTTCTTATGAATTTTAAGAGTTTCATGAAATCTCTTTTACTGACTTCATTTTGATTTCGGTTTTCAGCTTTCCATGGCTCTGTTTTCAATGCATGTATCTCACTGGGAGCAAGCCTATGTTAGCTGTAGTACACAATTTCTCCCTGTGTTCTTGGCATATGTCATCCTATTGAAAATGAATTTCACGAGGACCAAGGTTTGACTTGAAAATGAATTTCACAAGGTTTCACTTGAATAAGGGTGAGTGGGAAAGAAAATTAAAAGCGCGACGTACAACAACTTTCCAACTATCATTCATTCAACAAATATTTGTTGAGTGCCTAGTATGTGCCAGGCACTGTTCCATGTACCGAGGATTCGTCAATGAATGGAACAGACAAAAACTGCGGCCCTCGTGGAGCTGCCATTCTAGTAGACTCTGCACCATGTCCCGCTACACCTGGGGAATGACTCTCTGAGCCTCTGATCCAAAGGCCAAAAGTTACATTAGCAAAGTGGTATATAGGGCAGCCATGACACCAAATCCTCACCGAAGGCAGGCAGGAATATAAAGCCCTCCCTGGAGTGAAACACTGGGGATTCTGGTTATTGGAGTGATGGCCAGAGCTGAGGCTAGACTAAAAGAGCAGATAGATGTGTGCTATGGACAGAAGTATGTCCCCACCTATTTGGAGCAAGGAAGTAATGAAGGTTAAATGAGGTCATAAGGGTGGGGCCCTGATTCTATAGGAGACACCAGAGATCTTGCTCACCCTTTCTCGGCCACGTGAGGACACAGCCAGAAGGTGGCCATCTGCAAGCCGGAAAGAGAGCCTGCACCAGGAACCAACTCAGCCAGCACCTTGATCTTGGACTTCCCAGCCTCAGACTATGAGAAATAATTTTTTGTTGCTTAAGTCACTCAGTCTTGTTACGGCAGGCTGAGCTGACTACGATAATGTAATACACCTCCATCACTGAGAGGCTTTCCAATAACACTGCAAGGAGTTTGAGTTACAAAAAACACATCTAGGAAGACGCCATCCCATGCAGCAAGCAACAAATGAATTCTGGACTTGACTTTTGATATCCCCGTTCAAATACTGCTACAAAACTGTGAGATGAGGTTAGTTTAACAGCAGTTCTAACAACGACACTGAAGGCTCTCCTGAGAGATCACCTCTACTTCAGATATCCTCCACCAACCAAAAAACATTCATGGTCCTCTGAACCCTCCCTAGCTTGCTTTATCTTAAGAAAGATAAATAAGCATTAAGAGAAATTAAACCAGTATTCTGCTACTTATCAGGCAGAACTAACTGCTTTCTCTGGACTGTGGTTCTAACGCCTGTTTAGGTTACAGAGCATTTTACGCTGAGAGAGTCTCTGCAGAATATCCTCAAATAGTGATATACTGAGTTCTACCACGTCAACTAGGAAAAACTGCACTAACTGAAAATATAACAAGATCCTAAGTATATAAGGCTCCACATTCAAAGAATAACAGAACAACCTTGAGAACACTGTTGCGTTTCCAAACTTTTCAGCTCCCAGTTGGTTGTTTATCTGTTTTGTTTTACTAGCATTCTGCAGCAAACAACAAAACACCGAAGTTTAGGAAAGTCTCACAGGGCAAAACACCTGTAGATTGAGAACATTTTATCTTCTCTTTCTGAACTAATTAGAAGGAGACTGCCAACGTTAAGGTCCCGCTATGGAACTCAGTTTGAGAACCATTTTTATATCTGAATCTATAAAACATCTGGGCCAAGGAATCTTGTTGACCAGTTCCAAGGCCTAAGAGTCACGCTGATACTCAGATCGGACAGAAACTTCTCAGAGTCAAAGCCAGAAAAGACAACCCGGTGAACCGAAAGGGCTGGTTTCCCATGGCTCCAACTTACAATTCGTCTTGTATGTTGTCTGTTAGTTTGAAGAGCTGCTCCTGCCCTTCGGCCTGGCTCTCAGAATAGCGGGGAAGCAGGCCCTGCGGCCCTGCGCAGCACCGTGGTTTCCGTACCCTCTGTGCTTGGGTCCTAGGTGGGGAAATGGACGAGAAGCAAAGAGGTTAAGTGTTAAACGTCAAAATGATTTCGCTTCCTTCCTCGTCTGAGATAAAAACACCACTTAACACAGGACATACTCTAAATCTGGTGACCGGAATTAAACTACATTTAGTACCACCCGTGAATGCACTAGAAGAAAGTGGTTAAAGACTCCAGTTTTGAACAAGAACCTCACCGTTGCCATTTTCTAGCTATGTGATCGTGGACAAGTCAGTTAACTTCTTCAACCCTCAATTCCAGTTCTCTCTGTAAAACAGGATGATGACACCCACCTCACAGGACTGCCATGAAGATCAAACAAAATCATGCCCATCGAGCCCATGTTTGACAGGATGTAGGCTATCCACCAACAGTGGCTCTTGTTATTGTTATTATCACTGGACTTCCACTTGGTCACACTCTGTTTTTCTAGGAAATCTCTTCAGGAGAGGCACCTCTGGACTTGTAAAGGGTCAGGAAGAAGAGTGAGAGGCTTTGGGCATGAGTCAGAACACACCAAGCTTCTCAGCTTCTTCTAGGATGAGCTCAGCTGCCTGGGTGTAGGGTGAGGGCCACAGTGATCACAGGAGGGAGAAGAAAGGCTCCGTGGACTGGTCCCAGGCCACAGTCTGGGATTCTGCGGCAGCTCTCACTCATGGCCCTCAGCTGTCCGTGGCCCAAAGGAATCTGCTTTGCTGTGGCTTTTAGGGTAGGCTGATGTTGTCTTTCTCCACAAACCATATACAGGGTAATTGATAAGTACTTTTTGGTGTTTTCCTAGAAACAGGAGTCCATATTTGTTTTGGAAAGGCTGTGCATATTTCAGATGACTGATAAGAGTGTGCCTGGCCTGTCCTCGGCCTTGTACTTGGTGTACTTTTCATTATTTGTTCCTGGATTCCATTGAAGCAAAACACCCCTCTCTAGACATATCTACAAGCGAGGCCTAGGCTTACACACGGAATCAGCACTCCAGGATCGTGTGCTAACAGCAGTGGAAAGACTTACTTGCAAGGGCAGAGAAGTGCCTGGTGGGCGAATCAGGGTAAAGATATGGACAGAAACAGTCAGCGGGTTAGCTGCAAACCTGGGACGACGCAAAGCCCTCCTGGGCCCGTGTCAACACTCCGCCTATCAGGCCACGCTGCCTCAAGTCCCAGACCTGGGTAATGCTTGATATGGGCTGGAAAACCAGACATCCAGTGATAATGTTTTAAAAGTTCAGTAATAAGGATGCCCCAAGTACTACTAATTGTGTTCTCCAAGTGAGACTAAAAAGAAGTTCCGACCATCTGCACCAAGGGAATGGGTAAACAACCCAATTTTATTGCTATGATATTAATATATTCACATATTCCTGCTGTGCACAGTCTCAATTCCTTCTTCAGGACTGAGGCCCACTGCTGGCTATTTAGATCCCAACTACTGGTTGAAAATACGGAGGGCAGTGTCGGGAGCCGCTCACAGAGTTCACCCCTCGTAGGGAAGCTTGACAACTGCTGGTGTAAGGATGCTGGAAAACACTGAGTGAGAGAAACCCAGGGGAAGGAGCGTGGTGTACTTTTCCAGGTAGCTGAGTCCTGTTCTTATCTCCTTGCCCAGTGAAACATTGACTGTCATTTCAAACACTGTCCAGGACAGGCTAAAAAAGTATCTTTTCCCCAAGGCACCCCTGAAGCTCCTGAAAGGGGTTCGGGCACTGTGGCAGAAGCCCAAAGGCCCCAGGAAGATGTGACAAGCCTGCTCCTCATTTTTCAATGTAATGTTCCGTCCTGACTCCCCGATCTACTGGGAGGTTCAGAGGCTCAACTTCCACATGCATCCCAAATCTCGCTATTTCTCCATCTCTCTCATAACTGACAAATGATCTCCGGATTTGTAACGGATTGTTACTATAGTCTTATAACTTATTCTTTCTGTTTCCACTCCTGTCCATTCTCCTCACAGGAACGAGAATGACCCTTTCAAAAACAAGTCAGATTCGGTCATGTGCTCAAAACACGTTTGCTTCACATCCCACTTAGATAAAATACTTGCTTATCTGCCTCCCCAACTGACTGCAAACTATCTTCCCATTTCCAAGGTCCTCCATCCGTGATCAACCACACACCAACGGAAGGTTGGATATAGTGTTCAGATCCTGCTGCTTGGAGGAGCTCAGCGCGGCGTTCAAGGCTCACTGTTCACACAGATACAGGAGAGCGAGCGAGCTCAACTTTGCCGTAAGAGGAAACGAAGCCTCTCTCGTGGTCTTATAAATATAGGGAATACTTCTGGAAGGGGTGATTTAGACATACTATCACTAGAAACAGAGAGCTGGGTTAAAGGAATTCTTCCCATAATAAACCCCTACTTCCTTATTGTTGGAATCCGAAAAACTATTCTTTCTTCTCCAAAACTCAACTAAAATGTTAAATTCTGAGGTCCAAGTTGAGAGGCTGGGGAGTGTGTGGGTTCAAACCATTTGTATGTGAACAAATTTAGTCCCAAACGTAAGCCAGCAGAAAGTTTAAAGTGATATTCTTCAGTGTAGGCCACTGTGTGATGGGACTGTTTTCTTCATATGTTGACGATGGCACTGAAAATTCAAGTAACCCTTTGAAACCAGTGTGGCTGTACGTGGTGGTAATCCTAAATTTGTTCACTCTGGGATTCAGTAATACAACGTTGGTATCTGAAAAACAGCTGTTAGGTGACTGTTCTTGAGTCACTTTCACGTATGTTCCAGTGAGCCTATGAGCATTTGGAAGGAAAGGACTCGATTCATTTTTGTTGTAAACTGGACTTTAGGACTAGATGCATCATTACCCTCCGTTTAGGGCCCACGGTCATCACTGGGCTTTTATCTATTTTAAATGATATAATAAACATCTTTGAAACCACTATCCCTAGCACGAAAACCCCATTGTTTGACCATAACTCGAATCTTATCTGTGTGGCCCTCGGCCGCCCCCTCCCACTCCCGGTTCCTTTCTTCTTCCTCTTCTATCTGAGATAGCCACTACCCTGAATCTTGTACTTATCGTTCCTTTACTTTTCTTCTGCACGTAGTCTTGTCACATTTCAAAGCATGTTCTGGTACAGTAGTCCTGTTACAGTCTCTGGTTTTCATTGTTTTGGGCTTCTGAGAAAGGATGGCACTGCCTTTTTATGTTTTGGGACTTACTTCTTCCTTGAAGTCATATTGCTAAGATTCAATCATTCTTTTGTGTGCAGCTACAATTCATTAATTGTACCGGCTTATAATTATTCCACTGTGTGAATATACCATCATTCACCCAGCTTCCTGTTGATGGCTCACGGACCATTTCCAGGTTTTGCTATTACAAACGATGCTGCTACGTTCATTCCTCTACCTGTCTAGTGGTGACCCTAGGCAAGAGTTTCTTTGGGTATATATCTAGGTGTTTGCTGGACACACACACAGGACATGAATGTTCACCTAACAAGATAACTCAAGTTGTTTTCAGAGAGGCTGAACCAGTTTACACACACACCAACAATGTACTTCAGAGAGCCTGGTAAACTATATACCTTCCAACACTTGGTACTGTCCAGGACAGCACTGTCCAGTACACAGCCACTGGCCATGTGTAGCTACTAACACTTGAAATGTGGCCAGTGTGACTAAGGAGCTGAATTTAAAATTTTTCATTTAAATTAACTCAGATTTAAATTGTGTATTAGATAGTACTGGTCTAGCCCCTTAAATTTTTGCTGCTTGAATGCGTATAAAATAGCATTTGTTTGTTTGTTTGCAGTACGCGGGCCTCTCACTGTTGTGGCCTCTCCCGTTGCGGAGCACAGGCTCCGGACACGCAGGCTCAGCGGCCATGGCTCACGGGCTCAGCCGCTCCAAGGCATGTGGGATCTTCCCGGACCGGGGCACGAACCCGTGTCCCCTGCATCGGCAGGCGGACTCTCAACCACTGTGCCACCAGGGAAGCCCTAAAATAGCATTTTGTCTTCTCATGCCCACCTTCCCCTTTCAACCTACAGCATAATGGAGTCCATTAAAAAAGTGGCGCAGATGTGGAGCCTGCCCACAGGCACCAGAGCAGAAAGATCAGCTTCCATGCTGCTCCTGCCTGTCACTGCTGGACCGTCCTCAGACTATCCTCTGGCTTCCTCTGGTTGCCTTGCTCCTTCTCTCACGATCACCTTCACTGTCAAGACCTGCTGCCTCTTGGGCAGGGCCTCGGGACCACCATCCTGGGGATAACGCATCATTAAACAAGAGGTGGCGAAACTCCACCCGCTCACCTCTCATTAGCTGACAGCGTCTCTCACTAACACTCAACACAAAAGAGACTTTACAGCCGTCTGCTTAGTGCATATGCAGCAACTGTGCCTCCACAAACCTTTGTTTAGCCGAAGGGCTGTGGTGCACTTAATTGCTGCCAGCTGGGGGTCTGTCGGCCATTTTAAGCCCTCAGCTGCTGCGGTTTAGAAATTTCACAGTGTATAGAAAGAAGCAGGCCTTCCAGTCAACCAGCTAATCCAAAACGTCAGCACCAAACGAACTTGGGCTTTGAACTCCATGAAAATGTCAGGGAGTTGGCTGTACAGCATGGACGACTCTCCCCCCGGGGAAGGGGCTGCTGATACAGTGGCTGATACACTGCAGATACCCACCTAGTGGGAGAGATCAATACCGAGCAAGCTTGCATCTGGCCACTGCTATCTGACATGCGCTGGAGCCAAAGCCAAAGATCAGAGTAATGGAAACAATCCCTGCCATTTTCTTGAAGCAACAGTAAATCCAAACAAGGTGACACAGGGAGATCTAACCAATTCCATTCTCGTGGTTGATCCTGCCTTTCAGCCTGAGGGTCAACAGTTGGCCAGCTATTATTTGTTCTTTGCTTCTATAATGAGTAACTATGTCATAGTTCTATTAGTTGAAGACAGATGTTGTACACACATACACATACCCCTGTACAGCTTGAGTTAAGATATTAGTCGGTTGAGGAATCTGTCATGGCCAATGT